AGCACTTCTCTAAAATAACACATCTCAAGCCTTGACTGTGTTCATTTCCAATGAATAAAAAACCAGACGGATATAATCATCACTGCGTTTTCCTTTTCTTAGCACATCTGCACTGTGAGACTTTCGATTCAGTGTGTGTGAACTAACAAGGGAAGATCATATGGAGAAGTTGCCACTGTGAGACTGTGTGCTCAGTCATGTCCAACTGTTTGCGACCAATCGACTATAGCCCACCAGACTCCTCTGTCCATGGAATTCTCCAGTGAATACTGGAGTGGGTAGCCACTCCCATCTCCAGGGGATCTTCCAGACTCAGGGATCAAACCTACGTCTCCTACACTGCAGGCAGATTCTTTACCGCCTGAGCCACTGGGGCTCTATGAGCCACTATGAGGCTGATTAAACCATATCTGACTTAGGACAATTGCAATGATGTAAATTTCCAAAGTCCTGGACTGAGGTGCTGAATCAGACCCTCCGCTGCTCTCTCCTCACTCATGCTCTTTCTCCAGGATTTTGGACTGGAGACGGGAGTACAGGGTAGTTCTCTTGGTGGAAACATAAGTTCACAGACTCACGGAAGCCAGGGATGGATGTGGGTGCAGGGGCACTAGGAGAGGAGCTGGGCCATTCTGGGTAGGAAGAGGTGGGAACAGAATGCAGAGCCAGAAGGCAGAGGAAACCACAGACACCCAGCCTTTCCTGGGATCCCCTCCTCTGTGCCAGACACAGGCCTGACGGGCCATCTGGCATCTCAGTGAGTCACCACAGCAGGGGAGGACTATTGTCACCTCCATTTTACAGGCGAGCGATTAATGGACTTGCCCAGTGGAGGAAGAAGTCTGCAGGAGGGCTCTCTGGACGAGGGCAGGGAGATCTGAGAGCAGTGAGGTCTCAGGAGAGAGAGCAGCTGGGGATGGAATGGAACTGGAACGTGTGTTAGGACCCTTCTCGGATTTTCACCAAGACCCTGGGCCCAGCCCTGCGTGTCTCCCAGCCTGGGTGCTCCCAGCCGCTCCTGCCCACAGCCTCAGCATGAGCCCCACTCCTGCCCCACCAGCCAGAGCCAAGCCAGAGGCACCCCCATTTGGTTCCTCTGTGCCAGGCCTGCCACAGCAGTGCCATCTGCCCCCAGGATATGGTGACCATGGCTGGCGGCGGACTTTCCCCTGGACAGACACCTCTGCCAGGCTGAGGTGAAGTCGGCATGGCAGGCAGGATCAGAGCCCAGCTAGGTTTAGATCCTGACCCCGCCCTCACTCACTGTGACCCTGCCTCTCTGAGCCTGTTTCCCCATCTGTAACAGCAGCCACGACTGCTAGGGGAGTAAGCGCACCCCAGCTTCAGATGTGGGTGAAAGACTTGGAAAAATCCCTTTTCTACAGTCTCCACGGGTGTGGGCACTAGCCCTCACTAGCTGAGGCCTTGGGGAGCACATTCCCAGGAGAAAGCTCCCTCCACCTCCTAGATGCAGACCAGCCCTGCTGCAGGACTGATACTCAACACTCCTCCAACAAAGGAATGCAAGGCTGGGTCCTGCGAACACTTGAGAGTCTCCGCCTGAACAAGATGAAAGGCTGAGAGGAAACGGAAGTGCTCGGATGCTCTCAAGGTCAGCATCCAGACAAGACAGCAGAGCGCCGTGAGAAAGGTGCTCCTCCAATTATCCAAGCAGGAATGGGCTTTGAACACGGGTGAGTCAGAGCAAAGCTGACTTAGCCCCTCACCTCTCCATTTCCTGGAACAGCGCTGTCTGTCACAAACAGCTTTAAGCAGCAGGAGACTGTTGCACAAAAATACTCTTGTGATTCAACAATGAGCACAATGAGGCATCAAGTCTTCCTGTTCATGTTTTTAGGAAAAGCAAATCATCTTTGAATTTCTCATGACTGCCTTCTTTTTACATGGTGTTTATTTTTAAACACTTTAATAATTTACTAGAATAAGATGTTTAATTTATATTGGTACATTCATGCTTTCAGTTTTTTTTCTATTTCCAAATGTACTTTCAACATCAAATACCTTACACAGTCAAACGCTATGGTTTTTCCAGTAGTCATGTACGGATATGAGTTGGACCAGAAAGAAAGCTGAGTGTCAAAGAATTGATACTTTTGAACTCTGGTGCTGGAGAAGACTCCTGAGAGTCCCATGGCCAGCAAGATCAAACCAGTCAATCCTAAAGGAAATCAACCCTGAATATTCATTGGAAGAACTGATGCTGAAGCTGAAACTCCAGTACTTTGGCCACCTGATGCAAAGAGCCAACTCGTTGGAAAAGACCCTGATGCTGGAAAAGATTGAGGGCAAGAAGAGAAGGGGGAAGACAGAGGATGAGATGGTTGGATGGCATCACCGACTCAATGGACATGAGTTTGAGTAAACTCCAGGAGATAGTGAAGGACAGGGAAGCCTGCCATGCTGCAGTCCATGCGGTCAACAAAGAGTCAGACATGACTGAGCGAATGAACTGATTTGTTTTTAATTTTGTGAATTCTACCTTTTTAAAAACAAAATATACTCAAATTGTCATTTCAAAACTAGGCAAAATAATGAGCAAAAAACTGGCATTGCTGATTTTCTCAAATATTGCTATTACTTGTGCTTTCTACTACTCAAACATCATAACTCATGGGAATGATTCCTACAACCTCCCTTTACTGATAAAACTCAGGTGCACATAGATCAATGAAACAGAACAGAGAGCCCAGAAATAAACCCACTTATCTATGGTCAATTGATTTACAACAAAGAAGCCAAGAATATACAACAGGGAAAGGACAGTCTCTTTCAATAGATGGTGCGGGAAAAGACTGGGCAGCCTCATGCAAATGAATGAAACGGCCACTGTCTTATACCTTACACAAAAATTAACACAATGGATTAATGGCCTAAGTGTTAAGATTGAAACCATAAAATTCCTAGACAAAAACATAGGCAGTAAGTTCCTTGACATCGGTCTCAGTGATAATTTTTTGAATTTGACACCCAAAGCAAAGGCAATAGAAGAAAAAAAAAAAGAACAAGTGGGACATCATCACTAAAATGCTTCTGTAGAGCAGAGAACACTACCAACAATGAAGAGGCAGCCTACCGAACAGGAGAGACATGCAAGTCATATCTGATAGAGCTAATATCCAAAGCACATATAGAACTCACACAACAGCAAAAAGTAAAAACCCCAAACAATCCAACTAAAAGATGGGTGGGTCTGAATAACCACCTTCCCAAGAGACGTACAGATGGCCAACAGGTCCAGAAAAGCTGTTCAATGTCACTGATCATCAGGGAAATGCAAGTCAAAACTACAATGACATCACCTCACACCTGTCAGAAGGGCTACTAGGAAAAACACAACAAACAGTGCTGGTGAAGACGTGGAAAAAAGGGAACACTTGAACACTGTTGATATGAAGGTAAACTGGGACAGGTACTAAGGGATAAAAAAAGAGTATGGAGGTCCCTCAGAAAGCAAAAAATAGAATTATTATATAATCCAACAGACATACTTTTGGGTATTTATCTGAAGAAAATATGACACATTAATTAAAAAAGGTATCTGCACCCCCATTTTCACTTCAGCATTATCTATAGTACACCAGGTATGAAAACAACGTAAGTGTTCATTGATAGAACGATAAAAATGCCATATATATATACAATGAAATATTATCCAGCCATTAAAAAAATAAGGAAACCTGGCCATGTGTGCCACGGATGAACCTTGAGGGCATTATATTAGGCAAACTAAGCAAGATGCAGAAAGTTACATTGCATGACTGTATTTATATGTGGAAACAAAAAAAAAAAACAGGCTGAGACAGAGAACAGAAGTGAGAAGTTTCGCGGGTTGAGGTGGGTAAGTGCCGGCAAGGACAACACATGGGTGAAGAGGGTTAAAAGGCACAAACCTCCAGGAACACAATACATTAAGTCATGGAGATGAAACGTACAGCATACTGACTGTAGTTACTGATATATACTGGGTATGTGAAAGCTGCCAAGAGGATAGATCTTTAAATTTCTCATGACAAGAAAACATAGCATGTGATTACATGTGGTGGATGCTAACTAGACCAAGAAAATGAAATGTCAAAAAAACAAACACTTCCCTGGTGGCCCGGTGGTTAAGAGTCCCCTTGCAATACAGGGAAGACGGGTTCGATGCCCCAGTTTGGGAACTAAGCCACATGCCACAGGGCAACTAAGCATGCATGCTGCAACAAAGACCCAGCACAGCCAAAATTCAAAAGATAAAACACAATTTCAATTGCTTAAAAAAAGTCTCAGGACCACAGAAGTCAGGCATCCCACGCAGGGTCACACAGTCTGAGGTGGCAAACCGGGAGCCAGCCAGCCTACAGAATCCCAGCACCCCTCTCTTACCTGCTTTGTTCTAAGCCCCGGTGGGAATCCAGGTACCTGGATCCACATACCTGCATCAGTCTCAGCACACTGCCTGGTTCCTTCTGGACGTTCACTACCAGTAGGTCTCCTCTCCTAAACACATCCCTGGGAACTCAGCGCCATGTACAGAGGAACTGAGGTGCAGAACGGTTCAGTGAATCCAGCCAGTCTGAGGCAGAACCGTAGCTCCTGACCACACATTAGCTGCTGGGGGGCAGCTTCCGGCTCTCCTAAGCACCTTTTTGCTCTGGGTCTTGCCGATTCTCACCAGCACACATAGCACGCGCCCTGCCCAGAGCCCAAGGAGCACAGGCAGGTCAGAAATCCAGGTCTGCCAGGCTCCAGAGCCTGTCCTTGCCCCCAGGCCTGCCCTGCCATGAGGGTAGAACGGGGCTGATGGGCAACCCAGTGCAGAAGCCCACAGATATCCACACACACACCATGGCTTTATTATTTATATAAATCTTCAGAAGCACATTTCCTGGATCTGCAGCCAGGGCAGACGCCAGAGGCAGCAAGGGGCGGGGGGGGGGGGGGTCGCTCCGTCCAGAGTGCGAGGGTGGTCGGAGGAGGCGGCGGCGGTGACCGCAGGCTCACTTGAGGCGATAGAGGACCTTGCGCTGCATGCGGTGTTGGATCTCGCCCCGCCGCAGCATGAGCTGCAGGACCTTGTGGATGGCGTGCTCCGGGTATTTCTGCGGGACACAGGGTGGGGTGAGAGTCGTGCCCCCAGGCACCCCACCATTCAGAAGCCCAGGCAGCCCTTGCTCATGGGAACTTTCCAGCCTCCACGACCTACCACTTTGCATCCTAAATCGGCTCACCTGTCCTAAGCACCTACTACATACCAAGCTTTGTTCAAAATCTTCACCAACTCATTCCACCCCTCAACATCCCTGAGCAGCTGGTACGTGATCATTTTACATTTTACAGGGGAGGAAACTAAGGCACAGAGAGGCTAAGTCATTTATTCCATGGACTGGAGCCCACCAGGCTCCTCTGTCCACAGGATTTCCCAGCAAGAATACTGGAGTGGGTTGCCATTTCCTCCTCCAGGGGCTCTTCCCATCCCAGGGACTGAACCGAGGTCTGCCACGTCTCCCTGCACTGGTAGGCGGGTTCTTTACCACTCTGACATCCCCGAACTCCTCTAAGTGGTGGTCTGCTCACCCCTCGAATGGATGGGGTACCACCTGCCACATAAACTGCCCAAAGGATGAAGAGGAGACGACATACACGAAGGGGAGCTGAGCCCAGAAACTGGACTGTCCCTGTGACTTCAGAGATGGTGACAAGTTCCCCATAGCTTCTAGAAGGCCCTTCCACCATCTATGAAATCAAGAGCTCTGTCCCCAGCGGGCTGGAAGGCTCACCCTCTGGTTCTGCCTCTCCCAACCCCACAAAGGGCAGGAAGGAAGGGAAGGGAGAGACAAAGGGCTGGGGGAGCCTGGGAGGTCCCATCAGAACCTCAGCCCCCTGTCCTGTCCCCTTAATGTGACAGAGAAAGTCGCGAGGGGAGAGCACTGGGGACAGGCCTGGGCCCAGGAACAGCCGCCCCTACCCCATCCCAGGCCAGCCTGCTGAGTGAAGGACACAGTGCAGGGCGGGTGGGAACCTGCCCCGGGAGGCCCACCTGCTTGGTGAAGTCCTGGATGATGCTGTGCTCAGACACCTGGGAGCCGATGGCGAAGCGGCGCTTGAGCTGCTTCTCAATGCGGCTCAGCAGCTCCTGGTCCTCCTGGCTGGTGAAGCCTTCCACCCCTGTGGGCGCGAGGAGGGAGGCGGGTCGGTGGGTGGGGACCTCAGTCTGCCCACAGCAGTGAAGAGCCAGCCAGGCCCAAGAAAGAACATGAGAGGAAGACAGAGAGGGAGCCTAGGGACAGCCAGGGCCTGAGGGAGAGGATGGACAGAGGCCTGGAATCAAGGACAGGGCAGGCGTGAGCAGAGGGCTGCTGCAGGCAGAGGGAACAGCAAGTGCAAAGATTCAGAGGTGGGAAATGTGCCCACTTCATTCAAAACCTAGTTGTGGGGCCAGGGACGCAGCCAGAAGGGGGACCAGAGTGGGGCCAGGTCCCACGAGCTGGAGGCCACAGCACAGGTTTTTCTGATTCTGGTGAGTAGAGCAGCCACTGGAGGGCCCTGAGGACAGCACCTAGACCCCAGGCAGCTAGACAAGTCAGGAAGACTTCCTGGAGGCGGCTGCATCAGGATGGAAAGCTAGAGGGGACCCAGTAGTGACCCAGGAGCATGCAGGCTGTCCCGGAGACCACACCTGTGAGGCACCCCAGGCAGCCCTGGCAAGCAGCTCCTGATTTCCGACAATTGCTCGAAGGGGTCTCCTCTGCTGACCCAGGCCTGCAGAGGCCTTGGTACTTCAGCTAGAGAGAGCTGGAGGCGGGGCGAGGGGGGAAGCCACTGAGAGGGACTTCGAGGCTTCAGGTTGAAATGAGTTCACAAGGCAAACTCTTATATAGCCTGCAAAGCCCAACTCTAACTACCCTGCCCCAAACCATACCCACCCTATGCCCTCAAACATCCGAGGGAGCCCCCCATAGGCAAATGTCTCAGGGAACAGAAAGCCCCTCCAGGGCAGAGACTGAGTCATCATCACCAAGGGGAGGGCAGAGGCAATCAGCCCCCACCCACCTCCCCAGCTCCAGCCACACTGGCCCTTGAGCACATCAACCCTGCTGTCCCTGGGGTCGTGCCACTCAGCCCTCCCTCTACCTGGGAGCCCATCCCCATACTCCAGGGAGCCAGGTGTCCACTCATGCCCATCCTTGCTTCCTGCCACCTCCTGAAAGCCCACCCTGGACCACCCGACAGGGACACAGTCCCACCCCTCCCCAACACACCCGACCTGCTGGAATTCTCCCCTCTGCACTCTTCGCTCCCTGAGTTTGGCATGTCTGCCTCTGCTGTGTCTCCCCAGGAGGAAGGTGGGGACTCAAGAGATCTGCTCGCTCCTGCCCTCCCAGGACCTCAAACAGCCCGGCAGATACTAAGCCCTGTCTGCTGGCGAGGGAACAGATTCATCCCAGAGGTGCCTGGCATACAGTCAATGCTCTAGGAAGTCCACTAAGAGGCTTAGTCTGAAGCAGGCGGCAGGATAGGCGGCAGGACTGACAGCAGCCTGACCCACGCTGGCCTCGGGGTCAAGAGACCCACAGTCTAGCTGGGAGAACGGCGACCAACCTTGGGCACCGTGAAAAGGCCTGTCTGGATGTCAGTTTTCTCATCGCTTAACAGGGGAAGGACTAAGCACCCAACCTGGCTTCTGGGGGCAGCTGTAAGTAAAACAGGGGAAGAGCATCAGAAGCGCTCAAATGGTTACAACTCAACAAATAGGGCTGCCGAGTGCTGTTCTTAACCAGTGATAAAACTGTGAGCCTTAATAACGGACTGGGCCTAAGAGGATTGTGCTCCAGGGTCTAGAGAGGCTGTTCTTCCTATCTTGGAAGAAAATGGCTGGTGGGCGTGGGGACGGGGGAGTGGCTTCTTCGCAGGAGAAAGCACAGAGACCTCAGCAAGGGCAAAGAAGCAACCAGGACAGCAGGCAACCAGCAGGAGCCCCAGCCAGAGCCCACGGACCACCCGGCCTATCTCCCCACATCTGCTCACCTGACAGGGTGCCGGACAAGGCGGCGTCCAGCGTGGACACCTGGAAGAGCCTCAGCGCCTCCTCCACGTCTGCCTCCGTGGCGAAGGGCTGCAGCTTCATCTTGCTGAGGGCCTCAGCGATGCGCACGATGGCCTCCAGCTGCCTGCGTGGGAGCAACGGGACGCCGGGGTGCACTCAGTCCATCATCCCTCTCCTGTCCAGCTCCTTCACAGGGAAGGCTGCAGGCTGTCCCCATGATCCATCTTCTTAGTAACAGAACCCCAACTTCTATTTCAGCACATGGCACCCAGCTACAAGACATTTCCCAATCTCCATCGCAACTAGGTGTGTCTGTGTAACTACGATGTGGCCAGTATGTTATAAGTCCAAACATTTTATGGGAACTTTAGCAAGTGTCCTGAAAAAAAATAGGCCCTTCTTTTCTTCCCTTTCCTGCCACCTGGAATGCAGGGGTGATGGCTGGAGTTCCAGCAGCCATACTGGACAATGAGGAAAAGGCTGGGCCTGAAGGAGCCCAAGATGCTGCTGATGACTGAAGAACCATCATGTGATCCTAGATTCCTTGCCCTCAAACATTTTCACATAAGATGGAAATAAACTCCCAATTAAGTGACTTTATTTGGACCTTCCACTATATAAAGCAAAACCCACTTCTATCTAATCAGTGCTGGAAGCAGAATTCAAATGAGGTAGGTCTGTTTAAGCTCTTAGTCACTCAACTGTATAAACTCACCACAGTGAAGAGTTAACAGCTAAGATAACCGAGGCCCAGAAAAGGAAGGCAATCTCTCAGCCATCACGTGGTGGGCAGGAGGCAAGGGCCAGGTCTCCTGACTCCCATGCCTGGACCTTCCCTCACCCTCAGGCTTCCCTAAAATGGGGGAAGCTAGACAGAATTCAGAAGAGAGGGTTCCAGAGTTTCCCAACAGTAAACAAAGCAAAAGATACAGATAATTAGGGAGGCCACTGTTTTCACTCCTAAAGGAGTGGTCCCTGCCCAGCAGCCTGACCATGGCCGGCACCAGTGGGTCCCAGCCCCAACTTGCAGCGCACCCCTCGCCCTGAAAGCGAGGCCGTGCATCAGCCCACCCGGCCCGCTCACCGGACGGTGATGGGGATGCTGGAGCGCCGGTCACTGTCCCGCTCGTGCTGACGGGCCCCGCTCCGCATGATGATATACCGGTTCTTCAGCTTCTCTGCGGCCTCTGCTGACAGCCGGGGGCCACACTTCCTGCAGGACAGGGGTTGGGGAGAGCAGCTGCCATGAGGGCGGGAAGGAATCTTGGGGTACCCACCCTGGCCGGCCTCTGCTGGCTTGCAGACACAGGTTCTGGGCCCACCAGACGCAGGCTCACGGCGGTGCTTCCCCCCAACACATTCAGGGATGAGAGGCACAACGACACCCACGAGAGGACCCTGGTGACTGCTGTCCAGGGGCTGCAAGCATGCCAGACTGGGGGTGAGGGGCGGGAAGGGTGGCAGTGGGGGGCATTTGGTCAGATCCACCTGCACTCTATCCCCTCCACCCCACTGCCCCGCCCCAAGCCAACTGACAGTCACTGGTTTAGGGGAACCTCAGATCACCTACTCCAGGGCTTCCCTGGTGGCTCAGATGGTAAAGAATCTGTCTGCAGTGCAGGAGACCTGGGCTCGATCCCTGGGTGGGGAAGATCCCCTGGAGAAGGGCATGGCAACCCACTCCAGTATTCTTGCCTGGAGAATCCCATGGACAAAGGAACCTGGAGAGCTACTGTCCATGGGGTCGCAAAGAGTTAGACACGACTGAGTGACCGAATCCAGAAGGCGGGGGGAACTCCCCAAGGCCCCCCTGGGACCTGGCATCAAGGGATAACAAAAATTCAGGGCTCTCAGACTCACACACAACGGCCCAAGCCTCCAAGGGTGGGGCCATGAAGAGCTCAGAACCATGACGAAGACCCTGGTACCACTGGGTACTGGGTCACTGGGACAAAAGCGATGAGGAGGCACCCACCCAAATGTAGTACTTCACCTCCCATCAGAAAGGCACTCGAAGATCCCTCCACCCCGGGTTTTAGCTCCAATAAGAGACAGAGGAGGTGCGTGTCCAGAACCTTGATACAGAAGTGAAAAGCACAGCCTGTGGAGCCAGGCACCTGGGTTCAAATCCTGGCTCCACTAGCTCCTGCCTGCGGCCTTGGACAAGTTACTTAACCTTTCTTTGCCTCAGCTTCCACATCTGTAAAATGGGATGACAATATACCAACATCACAGGTTTGGGGAGAGGAATAAAGTTCGCTTATATGTACAATAATCAGAGTTCCCTGGTGGTCCTAGCGGTTAGGATTTGGGCCCAGGTTCAATCCCTGGTCAAGGAACTGAGATCCTGCAAGCTGTGCAGCGCCACTCAAGTTTTAAAAATTAAAAAGCTGCTCAGAACGACACCTGGCACAGAATCATCACTATGTGTATGACTACCATCACTGGCAGTCTGTGAGAACAACAATATTTAAGGCAGCAGCTGCTGCGCACTGAAGTGCTTATTTGGCGCAGGGCCGTGCCAAGCGCTCACGCGTCATCTTGTATGACTTACAAAAACCTGAGGGCACAACCACCCCGGGAAAGCAAGGCTCAGAGGTCAGCTGACTTGCCCAGGGCCACACAGTGCGGGCAGGCGTTACCAGAGACCATGTCCACAACGCCTCCCCACACATCAGAGTCAAGGGGGTCTTCAAGGCCATCTAAACCTCCACCCTCACTTTAGAAACGGGGAAGCTGGGGCCAGGAGCCACGGGGTGGGGGAGTGTGCAGGGGAGGAAGCAGCAGAGCTAAACCCCAAGGGCTCATCCCAGGCCTCCTGAAGGGGCTCTCCCCGACCAGGAGACTGGCAACCCCACCCCCGGGGGCCTGGGTCCAGGACTCACGTGCGGCAGTAGGCGATGAACTTCTTCAGCTTGGCCAGGTCGATCTCGCCCTCCACGGCCTGGGCCTGCGTCAGTGCGCTCACATGCAGCGTGATGACGTGTTTAGCCAGCATCTGGGACGCAGAGGGGACCCGGGGTCAGGCCACAGGCCTTCCCGAGCCAGGTCCCAACACAGAGCTGGAGCAGGCGGGGAGGGAGAGCTCCCGGGGCTAGAACCAGTGGAGAGGAGGTGGCTCTTCTTTCCTTGGGGGCTGTCAGCTGGTAAGACAACCTCCGGAGCTGCCAGGCCCTCCCTGCCGCCCTGAGGCGGGGCGAGGCTGCCTGAGAACAAACCTCCACCCAGGGAGGCCGAGCAGAGCGAAACAGAGGCAGACAACCCTGAGACCAGACCCAGCTGGGCCCTGCACCTCCAGGCTTGTCTGCTACACAAGCCCTTGAGTTCTTCCAGAAAGACTGAACAGAACTGGGGTTCTAATACTTGCAATCAAAGGTCAACTCCCTCATTCCACATACAAAGGACAGACGCCCAGGCAATGAGTGACCCCAAATCAAACCGCATGTGGTACACAGGAGAGGCAGGACCAGGGACCCCCATGTAGTGTTTCTGGAGTCTGCAACCCACCTCCTTGGGGGCCCACTGACAGGCTGATCTGGTAGCCGGGACTCTGGACCCTTGAAGCCCCTAGTCTGCCCACCCTCCCCCCACTGAGACCTGCAGGCCTGGGAGGAGCCCAGCACCTACGCACCACATCCCTCTCCTCGTTGTGCTCGTCCTTGACGATGAAGATCATGTCGAAGCGGGACAGGATGGTGGGCATGAAGTCGATGTTGTCCTCCCCCTTTGTTTCATCCCAGCGGCCGAACACCGAGTTGGCAGCAGCCAGGACGGAGCAGCGGGAGTTGAGGGTGGTGGTGATGCCAGCCTGAGAGGGGAGTGTGGGGGGGGCAGAGGACAGAGATGAGAACTCGGGGTCACAGCCTTCTCAGGACACCCACACACACGATTCCAGGACCACTCCTGCAATCAACAGAGGCTCAGCCACTCGGGACAGCCTGAGGACGGGGCCAGGGCCCAGCCTCTCCCAGCACTCCCGGCATGGCCGGGCCAGGCCACACTGTGGCTGAGCGGGCCCCTGGGGAGGGCGCTCACCTTGGCGATAGAGATGGTCTGCTGCTCCATGGCTTCGTGGATTGCCACACGGTCATCCTCTCGCATCTGTGTGGAAGAGAGGAATGTCCACCAGACCCAGGTGAGCGGGCTGGGGCGCAGCGGCAGCAGGAAACCCTACAGGAGCTACTGTTCCTAAGTCCCCACTCCGTGCCAGCCAATGGCAGGAACCAGGTCACCTCTAGTCATGGGGATAACGTGTGGGCTTGGCTCGTCTCCCCACTCTCTAGGTTCGGAGAGGTTTATTACATCCCCGTAGTGATGGGAGGTCTCTACCTCATCAAAGGGGGTTTCTGCCATTCACACACCCAGCCCACGGCCGCCAGGTGCCACCAGCACTGAGCCACCCCCTCGCCCAGCTGGGCTCACCTTGTCAAACTCATCAATACAGACGACCCCTCCGTCGGCCAGGACCATGGCTCCGCCCTCCATGATGAAGTTCCGGGACGAGGGGTCCCTCATCACCGAGGCTGTCAGGCCGGCTGCGCTGCTGCCCTTCCCAGACGTGTACACCTGGGGGAGGGCAACGGGAGGGTCAGGGCCCAACACAGCCCCCAGGCCCTGACTGCGTAAGTCCAGGGTCCCCCAGAGCTGGAGCTCGCCCAGGGTCACACATCACAGCGGGGTGCAGAGCACAGACAATCTCAGCGTTCCTCCTCTGATGGGAGGCCACCAGCCGCAGCTGGCCTGGAGGTTCTCCCCAGGGCTATTCACATCCATCAATCACCTGAGCCCAACTGTCTCATGAACAGCCCCTGGGAGCTGGGCTCACTGAGGAGTAAACTGAGGCTGAGAGAAGTGACACCCTCCCAGCAGAGTGGACACTGGACTCTCCGGAAAGGCTTCCCCACCCTGAGTCCCATCATCTCTGTAGGGACCTGAGAACCACACGCTGCCAAGGGGCCTTTGAGCTGTGGCAAGTCCAAAGCAAAGTGTGCTTAAGTGTACGAAATACATACGGATTTCAAAGTTAGTGCTAAAAAGAACACAAGTTATCTTCTTCATGTTCTGTGTTAAACCACATGCTGAAATAATAACATTCTACATACGTGGATTAAACAGAATTATTAAAATTGTGTACATGCATGCTCAGTCATGCCCGACTCTTTTGCAAGCCCAGAGACTGTAGCCCACCAAGCTTGTCTGTGCATGGGATGCCCAGTCAAGAATACTAGAGTGGGTTGCCATTTCCTTCTCAGGGGATCTTCCCGACCCAGGAATAGAACCCGTGTCTCCTGTGTTAGCAGGGTGGTTCTTGACCACTGAGCCACCTGGGAAGCCTATCACCACTTTCTTTTGCTTTTCTAAGAGGTTACTAGGAAACGTAAACTCCCCGAGGCTCACAGCTGGAGTCCACGTGTCTCCACCGGGCAGCACTGGCAGAGGACCCCTGGGCCACCTCGCGTCTACCCAGAGGCCACACTTCCCCCATAAGACCACGCGGCCATCCTCACCCCACTCCGATCCCCCAGATATGCTGATCACCGCACAGGAGACCCGGCTGACCGGACACTCGGGTTCAAATCCCTGTGTTAGCACATAATGGCCACGGGACCTTGGGCAAGACGCTGAGCGGTTCTGTACTCGTTTCCTCACCCATAGAAAGGGGTGACAGGACCTACCGCCCGGAGCTGAGGTGAGCGGTGAATGGAGCGAGACACGGAAGCACCGCACAGCACCTGGGCCTTGACTCCCATGACTGCTATCGATGTGCAGACTCAGCGGATGGATAAGCTGAGGCTGAGGCTGGGTGACCTGCTCAAGGCCCACAGCCAACTACTAGCAAGGCTGAGACCCAAGCCCTATTTGGTCCACCGCTCCGCCCAAACCTACAGGCACCGTCCATCCCCTTCTTCCTCTCTCCCCCGCGGCCCCTCCTGCAGCTTCCTCCCTGTGGGGAAGCCAGGGCAGGCAGAGGTCATCCGGGACACTCACCCCGATGGGGGAGCACTTCTCCACGAACTTCAGCAGCTGGGACTTGGCCGTCCCCGGGTCCCCCAGCATTAATAGGTTGATGTCTCCTCGGCGAGTGAGGCCGTCTGGCAGCCTGGGGGGACGGGCAGGAAGGCCAGGTGAGCAACAGGAGAATCAGCAAGGGCAGGTTGGTCACAGAGGCCTGGCTACCACTCCCACCCCACCACGTCATAAGCCCTGGAGTAGGTGGGACACAGGGGCTCTGGCCTGAGAGCCACGTTATAGCCAGCTGTATCCCCTAGCCTCCTCTGTCTGCCACCCAGGAAGGGGAGGGTCAAAGGAAATGGCACCAAGAGCTGGGCCTGGGCACACACAGACAACATCTGATAAACACGTGCCCCAGCTGGAGAGACGGACGACAGCGGGCCGCTGGCGGTACCGTGGAGCAGACACCGCGAGGGCAGGCTCCAGGCCAGGACATGCGCCTGTTAGCAGTCCCTTTAATGCTCTACGCCTCAGTTTCCTCATCTATGAAATGGGCTCAACCGTAGCTTTCTCATAGGGCTAACTTGGGGACTGGGTTGCAAACACATGAAAACACTCCAAAGACTATCTGGCACATGGTAAGAACTCAGTAACTGGTAGCTGCCAGTAATATCATCACTGTCTATATCTCTACTGTTTCAGAATCTCAAAAGGACACATGATGTCCCCTGAGTGTTAGGCTTCCATCTGGCGTATTCATATGGACATCTGGGTACAAAGGGGTGGTGTCTCTTGCCTAAAATTGCATAGTAAATAAGTAGTTATCAGAGATTTAATCCCCAGTCTCCAGACTCCACACCCAGAGCTCTCTCCACGGCATCTGCCAGGTCCCCCAAGGGCCCCACCTAGCCAGGGTCGGGGGAACTGCTCTGGAAGGAGGGTGTGGACTGGCTCCCTGCCAGCTGACAGCAACCCTGAGAGGTGGGAAGGGTGCCTGAGAGTAGGAGGTGGGACTGAGAGTCCCGGGCAAATGGAAAGAGTATTCCCGTCCTGCCCATCTGGCAGCTGCCCTGCTGTGGGCAAATCACCCATCCCCTCCCTGGACCTGAGAAGGCTTGGACCCCCACCTCTTTCGGGAGCCCCCGAAGAGCAGGCAGGCGATGGCCTTCTTCATGTCAGTGCCCCCAAAGATGGAGGGGGCGATGCTCTTGGAGATGAGCTCATAGACGTTGGGGAGGGCAGCCAGCCGTCGGAACTCCTCCTCCTCCTGCGGGGTCACGGCGCCGGCAAAGGTGCGGCCTGGGCGGGCAGAACGGGTGCAGGTGTATGAAGGCCCACCCTCCCAGCCCAGGGCCTGCCAGAGGGCAAGGCCCTCAGAGCTGGGCAGCAGGAGCATCAGTCTGAGCAGACAGACCCCACTTCTCGCCCGAGAGCTGGGCCTGTGTGCTCCAGGCTCCAATGAGCAAGGGGAAGACCTGGAGGGGGTGTGAGGTGTTGGGCCAGATCAGAGGGGCCTCAGGGACCACCAGGATGTCTTCCATCTTGCTGAGGGCAGTGACAGGTATCTTTGGTATGAAAGCACTGTTCTCCCCGGCTGCCGTGCAGAACAGAGTGTAGGGGTGGGGGTGCAGACAGGGGGACTAGGAGGAGGCCAGGGGACGGACAAGGGGGGTCGGCCCAAAGCCCACTCACCGGAGCCATCTGTGTCCACCTGGATGCCCAGGACCCGGATGTAGGCGCTCCGGATGCCCACACCCACTCTGTCGCGGCCCCTGTTGGAGGTCAGGCCAAACTTCTTGATGGAGTAGATGCCCATGATGGTGACCCTGTTCCCAGGGACGACCTTGTCACACAGGTACCTGAGAGGAAGGTGGGGAGGAAGGAGGAAGAAGGTGAGAGTCTGGTGGGGGCAGGAGCCCCTGGCTCCCACCACCCCGTCATGCTTGCCGTTCACCTCAGCATCTCTACAGGAGGCTTCATGAGCTGATCTGGCTCTAGCCGCCGCCCGGCCCCAGGGCTCTCTCCCTCTCACCACCACCCAGCCCACACGTGGACCAGCTGCTGGGAGGAGGACAATCCTCAGTCTGGCAGCGGCCTGACTGGGTGGGGTCAGAAGGCCCACCCCCAGCCCCTCAGGGTCCCCATCTCCACCTGGCCTGCTGTCAAAAGTGCTGCAAGGCTCCCCTCAGCCATCTCAGGAGAAGCCTTCCTCCTGATACCCTCCCAGCCTCCCTGCAAGGGCCACTCCCCATTTTTGCCTCTTCACAGCTCCATGAAGCTCAGGCAAGTCATTTTGCACCTGGACTTTAATCTTTTTTTAAAAAAAAAAAAAGCTGCATCAAGGAAGTCTCCAAGCCCCTCCAGCCAGAACCATGCCCCCGTGCAGCATGGACAGGACTCTGGGGCATATATTCGTACTCTGCCACTTACGAGCTGTGTGACCTCAAAAAAGTCACTGCACCTCTCTGAGCCTGGAGGGGTTTGATAAAGTGATCTGACTTGCTGGGTTGCTATGCGATCAAGTGAGGTACCAGACCCAGAAACGCATTAGGCAACAGAAAAGGACCCTCACTGTCACTGTTAACATTCTGGGACTCCTCTCTTCCCAGATCCCACTTCTTCAGCTTTAAATCTAACCTCAGACTGCACAAATAATCTAACACCAAATACTTAGTTTGTATGAAGGAACCATGGTAAACACTTCACATGCATTTTCTACTTTAAATCTCCCAGCAGTGATGAGAGATTAAGGCCCATCACTGTCCCCATTTTCCTGGTGAGAAGACTGAGGCTCAGTGAGTTCATATCACCTGCTCAGCAGTCTGACCACTACACCTTCCACCCTTGCTGAGGGAGCTAACCATCTGTGGATCCCCTCGTCCGAAAAGCGTACTGCACAGACTATCTGGTTGAGGTATCAGGGTGCGTGAGCCCAGGTGAAGAAGCCCAGTCCCTATCTCCATGCCATCCTCCCAGGCCCTGGAAGGGGACGGGGCCGGCCCAGCACCCTCTCCCCACTTTTGGATTACCCAGCAACATCCAAGAAGAGTCTTAACAGAAAGCCCGGGGTGGGACTCAGCCTGGGAAGAGGGTCCTCTCCACCCTGCTGGCCGTCCAGCTGTGCCACCTCGGGCCTCCCGGTTCTAAGACAGCCAGGGAGACTGCGGGAAGAATGCAGGCAGCAGCAGCCAGACCCCCCCCTCTCAGGGAGCTGGTCACACGTGAGACTGACCCACCCCTGCAGAACACTGGGAGACGAGGGGAGGAAGCACCAGGCACGGAGGAAGTTTCCATAACCAGCCCTCTTCCCCGCTCCCCACTGCACTCGGGTCCACATACGGCCCCTGATACACAGCGGCGGGAGGCATGGCCAGCCAGCCTGCTCACAGCCCTGAGCCAGTGTGGGGGGGCACAGCCAGGGGCCCACTCACCGGTCACAGTAGAGCTGCATATGCCGGGGCATCTCCCCATGCGGCACAGCGTCTGGCAGCTCCTGCAGCTTCAGGGTCTGGAAGTCCACGCACTTGCACTTGTCTGGCATGATGAAGTACGGGTCCAGTGGACACTTGGGGCGCCCAGCCTGATCCCTGTAAGGAGAGAGGAGAAAAGAGTCACCAGAGCTACCCCCAGAGCCCCAAGCCCAGGGAACCCATCACACAAGTCAGCGACAAGCCTGGCCAGCGGCAAGTTGGGGGTCTCCAGGACAAGCTCGGGGAAGGCGGCTCGGCGGGGGAAATACACAGGGTTAGGGTTGGGGAGGCCTGCTTGGAACCTGGCTCTCCCGTTAACCTGTGTTAGACAGCCACATGGGGTGTCTGGCAGGCAGCCAGACTGGAGTCTGGGGTTCAGTGGAAACACACATCTGCATGTCCTCTGCACTCAGGGTACTCCAAAACCCAGACCAAAAAGGAATTAAGTGTAGAAAAGAGAAGTGTGGCTGAGGCCTGAGGTTAGGAAGCAGAGGGGAACCAGCGGCCAAAAGGGTGAGGGCCCTGAAGCTCAGGGTCAGCAATCATCTTCTGAAAGGAGCCAGAGACACATATTTTCCTTCTATGGGCCACAAGGCCACAGGCAACGCAGCCATATGCCACATGTAGACCCAGGAGCCTGGCATGTTCCTGGGCCTCCACTCCAGACCTGCCCCAGCGAGCCAGGGATTGAAGACACCAGGTGGACTCCCCGCCCCGGGCCCCTGCACGGGCTGCCTGGGCTCCCTGAAGGGACAGAACTCACCACCAAAGAGGGGCAGGGGGACACCACCTGTTCTCAACCCCAAGACCCAGGACGTCCGCTTGGCTCTACACCCACAGGGCATGCTGCGGCCCCAGCCCCTCCCAGCTGCAGGGCTTCATCCTCATCCTTCACACCTCCGCTCAGATGTCAACTCATCACCCCCCAGGTGCCACGGGGCCCACGAGGCCCACTCACGTGTTGCACTTCCGGGGCAGGGCATAGCCCTCCAGGCCGGGGCGCATGGCGATGTTGGTGAGCGTGCTGTGGCAGCTACGACACTGGATGGAGATGCGGGTGGCCTTGGCGCGGACCCCTGAGGCTGCAATCACGATGCCCGGGATCTTCACCAGGTGTGACATCGTGTCCGACTGCAACAGAGCCGCAGGGAGGGGGCTGGGTGAGGGGAGCCAGGGATGCCCGAGATCAAGCAACAAGAATCTCTTCTATTCTAATGTCTGCTAAAGTATTTAGGCATAAAGTGCCATGTCTGTGATTTACTTTAAAATCCATCAGCAGAAGAAAGGAGAAAGCAAGTAAGGCAAAATATTAACAGCCATTAAACCCAGATGGAGTCATTACACTATTCTTGCTACTTCTTAAAAAAATATGTTTTTATTTGATTGTACCTGATCTTAGTTGTGGCACGCAGTGTGTCTGTGTGTTTGTGTGTGCATGTGTGTATTTAGTTGCAGCATGTGGGATCTAGTTTCCTGACCAGGGATTGAAGCCCGGCCCCCTGCATTGGAAGCAGAGTCTTAGTCACTGGGCCATCAGGGATGCCCCTCTCACTACTTTTGTGTGTGTGATATTTTCATGATAAAAAGCAAAATAAAACAAGAAAAGTTCCTTTTATCATCATCTTTTCTTCCTATTTCCAACAGGTTTTCTGGGACAGGCAGGAAGGCTATGGGTTCGAGCTGATGACCTCCTAGAGCCCCAGGAGGTGGAGGGGAGGAGGACGGAGGCTGGCCCTCTCTGGTGACTGAGACCACGGGCACACGTGGCTGTCACGGCCCAGGGGACCCCAGAACTTTCGACACCCCCCTCAGAGCTTTCTGGAAAACACCCTACAGAGTGCGGATCTGAGTCCTCGGGGTCCCGGGGTTGGAAAGGACTGGGGCTGCCTCAGCCCCTAGGCCACCTTGACAAGCGATCCTTGTAGAGAGGGCTCCGCCTCTGTCACAGAACGCCCACCCAGGCAGGCCAGTCACTGGGTTTTCCAATGGGGCTGAGAAGAGGAAGTCTGTCCAAGTGGGGCTGAGGTTTGCTTTTCTGAGGGAACAGCTGCCCCAGGAAACAAGCCCAAGTTCGCCTCCACGACAGGCGATGCTCAGTTTAGTTTCAAGTATAGTCCCACCTGCACCTCCCCCGCGCCTCCCCAGCCTGGTGCAGGGCACAGAGACAAAGCTAGCACACACCACAGCCTCCAGAGCCCACAGCTCAGCCCTGCTTCTGTAAGAGACGTGCCGCTGTGCCAACCAAGGAAGGTCTGGTGGGGCCCTGAACTGAGCAGCAGGACATGAGGGGTCCGGCAAAGACCACTGCGTGGCCTTTTGACAGCACAACCTGGGCCCGGAGTTCACCAGGCACAGGCACGTGCATCCTTTCACTTGCTTCTCACAACAACCTTCTGACAGAAGAACCAACGTTCGACCCTCACCTCCTCCTCGGGAAACTCTCCTGGGTCCCACTCCTGCCTGCTTTATAAATTATCCTTTCACTTGGCAGCCAGAGGAAGCTCCTAAAGACAGAATCAGCCTACCCGCCTACTTACCTCTCAATCCGAGGCCCTGGCCACCTGGCTCTCCACTTGCTCCCTCCCCTGCCCTGCCCTGCCCTGCCCTCACTGGGATCCAGCCACTGCGGCTGCCTCTGCCCCTCATCTGTCCCTTGAAATGGCTGCTGTCCCCACCCCAGAGCCTTTGCACCTGCTTCTCCTTGAGCCCAGAACACTCCTCCCTCGAGCTGTCACAGGGCCATGCATCCCTCAAGACTCGCCCCAACACCATTTCCTCAGAGAGGCCTTCTCCAACCACCACGCGGCCCCTCGGCCCATCAGGTGGATCCCGTTTTTTCTTCTTTGTGGCTCATGTCCTGGGACCTGAAACCAGCTCACTGCTCCTTGTCTGTTTCTCTCACTATAAGCTGCACAGAACCAGGTACTGTCTGTCTACAGTGAGAGTCGAACCCAGCATCCGGTGTGAGGTAGCCACTCAAGAAATATTTGCTGGATGGCAGACTGGCCCTGCCCAGCTTTCCTGTGGCCCCATCACTGTCCAGTCACACTGACTATCCTTTCCTTGGCCTGGTACACTCCTGACCCCTCACCTTGCAAGCTTTACACTAGCCATGCCCTGCCCTCCTCTCCCCACCCCGTGTTCCCTCCCAGCTGTTTGCACGCTGCTCGTTCTCACCCACAGGCCTCCGCTCAGATGTCCCCTCTGGAAAGCAGCCTTCTCTATCTTTTCCAGAGGGGACCTATGCATTCTCATCACCTCCCAATTTCTCCCATTGCTCTCACAGTCACCTACAGTTATCGTGGGTGATGTTAACCATTTATCCAGTCTCCCAGGAAAAGAAGCTTGTCCTTGAGTTCACTACTGCTCCTCCAGGACCCAACTGATGTCCTGCTCACAGAAGGAGCTCAGCAAGCATCTGTCCAGGGAGCTAACTTTTCAGAGGCAGAAAGAGGCTCAGAAAGGGTGAGTGAGTCGTTCAGGGTCACACAGCTGGCACTCAGGTCTCTCTCCAAAACCCCTCCACGCACACAGCCACCACCGCCTCCCTCCGAGGGGACCCACCTTCAGGCTACGGATGCTGGACGGACTGGCGTCCGACTTGAGCATGACCTGGACGTCCTGGAGTACCTCGTCACCAGCAGGCCGCGGCCGGGTCACCTCGTCAGCCACCTCCTTGGCAGCTTCCTCCAGCTGGAGATGGGGAGGGGACAGGCTGTGAGTGACCAGAGCAGGGCCAGCCCTGGGGGTACCGGGGCAAGGGTCCCGGGGCAGGGGTCCCACTCACCAGCTGCAAGTGCTCGGCTGGCTGCTTGTACAGGTAGTCAGCCAGCTCCTCGTCGAAGCTGGCCAGGTCCTCCATCTCCACCTCGATCCAGTACTCCCCCAGGTTATAATGCCGCTTGAGTTCATCCCTGGAGTAGGTGCGGGGAAGGGCAGAGAAGAGGAGGCAATACTGGCTGAGGAGAACCCACACCCTGAGTCTGCCCACACCACTGCCCCGCCACGAGCTTCCCAAACACATGGAGCTCCAGGTGGATCCACTATTTAACCCAGCAATCCGCTGCCCCCCCAGCCCCCCCCCCCACCCCCCAGTCAGAGGCATCTTCCAAAGCAAGCTCCATGGAAGCTGTCCAAGTCATCATCAAAGAACAGTTCAAAGTTCACAGACAAGTATGGGAGACTGACTGCAAACCAGTCCTTTCACTGGACTCCCTGGACCCTTTAACCCTCTCTCAGATACTAACAAGGCACACAGCTGGAACCTGGCGATGGAAGGCAGCAGAGACCGTGCCTGTCTTATCAACCACCAGACTCTTTTTACAGAGCATCCCGTGAGACTATTATCCCAAAAACGCTTTTGGGAGCCACTGACCTCCTCAGCCTCATCCCTTTCTACCTTACATCCAGAGCCATATACAACAGTCAGTCTGGCTCCGAGAGCCCCTTGTTGTAACAAGCCACCCCACACTGCCCATGCAAGCACCTCCTGCTATCAGAAATGCCTTCCACACCAGATACTCTTCTCTCAGCTCTAGATCACCTGAAGCCTCCCCTAACTCCTCTTGTACACTCCTCCTTTGAGGCAATCATCACCTTGTAATTTACTTGGGCATGCCTAAGCCTCAGTCCCACTGATTCAAAAGCTCCTTGAGGGCAAGTAGTATGAATCTTTTCATCTTTGTACCCTAGGGTCTGGCACACAGATGGTCAGTGTCAGCTGGTGCATGAATAAATGGAAGCAGGAGTGGCTATGCCCATTTTACCGATGAAGAAACTGAGGCTCAGAGAGATTGTCACTTGGAAGTCACTGAGCTAATAATGGATAAGGCCCGAGTTTGGACCTGCAAATCCACTCTCTCTGCATTTAAGGGCCTACAAGGATTTGGCGGGATGTCACCATTGTATAATGACTGGGAGCAGGAGCTTTGCCCAGCTCATTCAGTGCTGCAACTCACCACCTAGAACAGCGGCTGGCATGCAGCAGGTGCTCAATCAATAGAAGCTGACTGAGTGGAACGAATGAATGAGTGAGCAAGTAAGGTAAAACATAACTACCTCTCCAGAGAACTGAAGATAACTCGCTTTACATAGTATTGCAGGCTACATAGAAGGACTATAAGAAACAGATGAATAGAAGCAAATCCTGGGAAAAGATGCAAAGGGCCCAGGTGACTCACTCAAAAGTTAACTTCAGACATGAAATGTACAAAACCAAACGCCATGAGGGTGCGGGGCCCCAGCGAGTGGAACTTAGCACGGCTGGGCCGCAGGTCCCCTCTTGTCCCGCTCCGGCACGCACCTGTACTTGAAAGTGAAGCCGGTGCGGTCGGTCCCCACCCGGTACTGTCGGAGGAACTCCTTGAAGCGCCTCTGCAGCTGCGATTTGCGGGCCTGTCCCTCATCGGCCGCGTTGTCGCCCCCGAAGCTGTCACTGTAGAAAATGCCGGGGTCGTCGAAGCCTGACATGACTGCACCTGACGCGGAACAAGGAGATAGAGCATACTGGAGAGCAGATGAGGGTGTGCGGCGTTCCCTCCGACACGCAGGTCCTCGGCTCCGAGTGCGAGGCAGACGTGAGCCCGGTTTCGCCTCCCAGACCTCGACCCCAGCTCTCCCATGAGACACCCCTGCCCAGCCCTACTTCGCCCCAAATGCAGACGCCGGCCGTCCCCCGCGGGGCTGGCTCTGAGGGGCTCACTCCCCGGCCCCTCCAGCCTCACCTCGGCCTTCCCGCGCTCCCCGGAACCGCAGACACAGGAGCCCCCACCGTCTACTGCCGCGTTTCGCGGGAAAAACCAGATGCAGCGTTTGGACGCCGCGGCCGCTGCGCCCTCATTGGTTCGCCGAGACCCCGAGGCCAGCGATTGGACCGCTCTGCGCCTGCGGGTCCCGCCTCCAAAGAAACTGCTGAAGGGGATTGGCTGCAGGGCGCAGGGCGTCGGGATACCCTCCTTCCGGGCTCCATTTTGCTTGCCGGACAATTTGGCGCGAAACTGAGCTGGAGGAAGCGGCGCGGCGGGGCGCAAAGATGGCGGAGGGGAGGGCCGAGGGCCAGGGTGGGTGTGCGAGGGCCCTGCTGTGTAATCGTTTTAAACCTTTTTCACGAGGAAATGACCCCTTTGCGACCACGGGCGGGAGAAGCTGTAGGTCCCTGAGAAGTACTTGCTTCTCAAGGTGTGGTCACTTGCCTGGTGTGAGCCCGCTGTCCCCTAGCGTCTGGAGGGGGCGCTGCCCTCCTGCCCTTCCCGCTCACACCTAAACAAGTTGAGGATTAATCAAAATAATCCACCTATGGTCTCCTTAATGCCTCTAGGACCAAAGTCAGACTTGGGACTCCAGGAATCTTTTCTTAGACCCAAATGGTGTTTTTTGTTTGTTTTTTGTTTCTTAAGTTGTAGAAGAGTTTTCATTATTTGGCAATGCTTAAAATTTGCGAAAATTCACGACCAGATTCCCAGCCTAGCTTAGAAAAATGGGAAGATCCAGCAAAACTTAACGGATTCTCAAGTGGCAACAAGGACTGCATAATCTCCCCTCCCTTTTTTTCCATTCTCACTGGAAGCAGGAACTACAGGAACCATCTTTTTATTCCATTGTCTACATTGACATATTTACGGGCAGTGTTTAAAATATGAGTGTTTAAAGGTGTCAAAATTATACCAAATGAATCTGAACCTTCAGGGAGGTACCTCTGCAAGAGACATAGCTTTAATTCATTCTGGTTAAAAGCTCTTTAATCCTCCACCGTGCGAATAGAATACAGAATATTAAGCCGTTTTCCTTCTGGTAGAATTTAAAGTGGTTCCATCTCCCCTCCCTCTCTCTCTTCCTTCCTTTCTTTGTCACTGCAAACAATGAGTACCTGTATCCTTGTCACAGAAAATTGGAAACTGGGCCTGGGTGAAAAGAGCCAAGTAAATATTTTGAATGCCTACTCTTGGCATACATCATCACATAAACAGTGGCTTCTGGACCTAGTTGCTATGCTATTTGAAATCTCCCAAGAAGCTTTCAGTAACTAGCCATTGCAGAGTCCTGCCCCATGTCTCCAGAATCAGAGCCTCTCAGATTGGGGGTCCATGATACCCAGGTATTCTGATGTCACCATCCACAGACTGGTCTTTGGAGACCCCTGGACCCTCCTACCAGCTGTGGGAGGCAGGTGGTTGTTAGTTTGCCAGGGAGCAAATGGAGACATGAAGTGACTTGACCAGGTTACAGATTTACTTCACAGAGCCAGAACTAGAACAGAGGTCTCCTGGTTCCCAGTGTTCATGTTCGAGTCTCATTAAGGAAAAGTTTTGTCCTTCACTTTGCTAAATACACTTTCAACTTGGGGCTTTCACTCTCCCAGACTGGGGGACTACATTTTTACTTTCACTGGCTTTTAAGACTTCGGGGCTTCCCTGATGGCTGTCAGTAAAGAATTTCCCTGCAACGTGGGAGACTGGAGTTCAATCCCTGGGTTGGGAAGATCCCATGAAGGGAATGGCTACCCACTCCAGTATTGAATTCCATGGACAGAGAAGCCCGGTGGGCTATAGTCCATGGGGGTCACAAAGAGTCAGACACTACTGAGCCACTAACACACTTTCAGGACTCTGGACAGTGGAAAAATCTTGGATCTAGATCTGGCCAGACCTGGTTTAAATCCTTCCTGACCGTCTAGAAGTGGTTAACACTCAGTTTTTCTGAGGATCAAATGAGATGACATCATGTGAGGTGACTCGCGCAGTAGAGAATCCCTTAACAAGAAGCACAGAACACTGATCTCCCTAATTTCATTAATAAGAGTTCATATCATGTGCTGTTGGCATTTTACATGCATCTCATTTGCTTCTCAAGACAGGTGAGCTGGGTCTGTATTGGTGTTAAAGGTGACAAAACTGAGCTCCAGAAGGCTTAATACCTAACCCCAAAGGCAGTTACAGAAAGAAAACCAGGGGTTTGAACCAGGGTTCTTACTCCAGTCCCTACGATTCACTGTATAAGACACAGATCGTATTCCAGAATTTGCTCATTTCAGCTTTACAGTGAACCGTGTCCTTGGTAAAGTGGTCTTCCACCAAGCAGGGTTCACCCCAAAGACATGCCCACTGCCTGCTTCAAGGTCACCCCCACCACCCTCCGTACAGAGCACAACATCCCAAACCAGCTGTCACCTACACTTTCACCCCTTCCGCCCACCAGACTTTCAAGAAACAAGTGAGGAAAAAAGGTCAGTTCCCCAAGGGTAACAGAGCCCAAGAAAAACACGTCAAGTTACTATCAGGCCATTTAGTTTATTATTTCACATGAAAGTTAGCAATCAAGGCCACAGTCCTGTTGAACACTTCCCTCCCCACCCGCCACAACCCACCCCTACCCTGCTGTAAGAACAGAACAGAACACAACAGAATACCACAGTTCAGGCTGAGCCAGGAACACAGAGTGGCTCCAACAAAAACAAGACGGAAACACAAGACACAACATCTTTGAACATATACAAAAATTGCCATGGCCGGTCACAGCGGGTCAAAAGGGAGACCTCAGACCCAAGGCTTTCGGAGGTTCACAACAGCTGTTGCTCTGGCTACATCTTCTGGGCTCTGCTGCAGGAACAGAAAGGGGAGAGTGCTGAGGGGTCGGGGGGGACCCCTTGTCCCACTCTGAAGTTCAGGTTACCGACTGGATGTACTTTGGGTTGGTGGAGATGTCTCAGGCTCCTTTTATCCAGAAGAGACGGACGCAGGGAGACAGTAGGAGCCCTGGCGGCTGCCCCCCAGCCCCAAGCTCAAGGTAAGGAAGCCAGCCAAGGGGCTGCCCCTTTCCACAAACAGTTCGTGGCCCCAGGAGGCAGCACACTTGCATTCACATGGCGTAAAGCCCCACAGCGACCGTGGCCACCAGAAAGCTGAGCGTGAGGACCCATCGCAGGAGAGGTGCCTGGGAGAGGACGCTGGGCTGGTGCTTCCCCCTGGACGCCTTGGCAGGAACCGAGTCTGAAAGAGAGGAGAGATGATGTCAACTCCTGGAGGACGGAAGCAGGGCCATTTGACCTCACAGAAAAATGAGAGCCGCCTCAGCTCGGTCTAGTAAAGTCCCTGCTAGATGCCAACCAGTAGCCCTCTAGCCACTACTTGGATACCTCCTGAGACAAGGAGCTTGCTTACTTCTCCAAGCTGTCCACTCTTGCATTTTCGGCCAGATTGTGAGAAGTACTCTCCAGGGATACCCAGGGGACCACAATTTAAGGACTGATGTATTAGGGCTGAGTCCCCTCACCCCCACCGGGTAACCTCATTAGGAATGGCCACATTCCCCCATGTTCCCCGCAAAACCCCACCAACAGAGGGGTCCATGTATTCCTGGCACAGGTGAGCTATGGTGGCACCAGGAGCAGAGGCCTGAGATGACCTGCGAAGCAGGTGGCCGAGCTTCACCCCTCCCCTCCCCTGACTCCCAAAGCCACACTCTCGCCCACAGGGAGGGAGGGGACATCTGTGGAGCATTCTGGTGCTCTGGAAGTTTCCCACATGTTCTCTCAGCACTGCCACCCCCCAGAGAGCTCTTTGAGAGGCCTCAGGGAGGGACTAACCCGAGACAGGACCCTGCATCAACGGCGGGGGAATAACTGGAAGCTGCCCTGGGCCCTGAGCCCCACGTCAGAGGGTCTCTGCTAGGGAACCATTAACAGGCCCCCAAGGGACCTAAACTGCATGTGTCTATGGGGGAGGAAGACTTACCATGACTTCAGAGTAATCTTTGAATACTCAAAAGTGACCTAGAACCAGCCCACCCCCCCGATTCTAGAACTGGGGAGACTGAGGTGCAGAGGGGTCATCCGGGTGGAAGCTGGCTCCACCCCCGACTTCTCATTTAAACCGTGGAGAAGACAGAAGAGTCAGGCGACACCAGAGCCAGACGGCTGGGCCATGTGCCCTCCACACGCTGCCCCCGGGAGGCCCTCACCTTGCGCCTTGCTGCCGGCTCGCCTGTGAAGGTCTGGTGCCTGCGAGGGCTCACGGTCCTTGGCCTTCTGGGTCAGCAGGCCCTGCAACTCCTCAAACAGCTGCAAGAGAACAAAAGGCAGGTCTCCATGAAAGGTGGGGCCAGGCCTGCTGATGGGAGGTCTGAGGTTTGGTTGTGAAATAGCAGGACAGGACAGAATCACAGCAAAAATACTGAACATCCAGCTTAAGAGATAAGATGTCACAGGTTCATTAACTCGCCTGCCTGCTTTTCCCCAAATGCTTCCCAGTAATAGCCATTCTGAATGGCCGCTCATGCCCATATGCTGGGTCCCTTTGCAAAGTACCATGTCTTGAGTGGTACCCAAGCAGGCACTCAATGCTCTGTGGTACTCATTAGCCAGGGTTACAGACCAGGTCATTGCCGCTCCAGAGATTCAGTGGGTGGTGTCTAGCCCAGAGGTCAAGTGCCAAGGGCCAGCCCTCCCATGGGGCTCTGGCTCCAAAGCGCCTGTTCTTTCTACACCACCTTTCTGAAAGATACAGCTTTTCTCAGAAGACTGACCAGGTCTGCTGGGTATCTTTTAGCTGTATGCAAAGGACGCACATTGCTCAATAGTGAGTGCTATGACCAATCTCTTCTGGGGTCCCAGGCTGGGAATAAAGAGCCAGGAGAGCATAAACTAAGAGCCCAGTTCCCACAGGGCCTCCAGATAGGAGGAGAGTGACAGAATTCTACAACATCAGGGTTAGAAGGAATCTCACCCCCACTGGGAACACCCCCCCGGCTCTGCCTAAGAGATCCGCCTTCAAGGCAAAACCCATCTTCCCCTAGATTTGAGACACTTGTAGATGAGACACTTGTAGAAAGACGGATCATGCCTCCTGGCTGGGCTGAGAGGCCCAGATGGCGTAGGCCAGGTCTGCAGCATCAGTGAGCCCTGCAGTGCCAACCTGGCTACATATGAGCACACAGCCAACTTGTATGTTGTCACAGGGAGTTGTCACAGAATGCCACAATGGTGACGCTCACACCGCACAATAACTGTAGCTAATGTTCGAGGGCTGACCCTGTGACATGCCCTGCTTTGGGGACCTGATTGATTTAAGCAGTCACAACAACTCTGTGAGCTAAGTGCTATTAAATCCCCATTTTACAGATGGGGAAACTGAAGTACAAAGTGATTAAGAAAGGGATTTGCCTAAGATCACCCCGCCAGGTAAGTGACAGAACTGGAACCCTGGACCCCAAGCCCCCGCCCTTAACCATGACCCTTGACCCCTCCCCACCCGCCACCCTGCGAGAAATGTCCCTGGAAGGGCAACTGGAGTCAGGGGTGGCCACGCAGCACAGCCCAGACCCTCACCTGGATGTTGAGCAGGAAGGCGGTCTTGGCCTCATCCAAGACCCTCTGCCAGACCTTGGGGGTCATCTCCAGCGTGTTCATGCGGGAGCGGTACAGCTGCTTGAACTTGGTGGCACTGGCGATATTGGGGAAAGTGAAGAAGGCCAGGCCCTCCCCGGAGCTCGGCAGATTCAGGGCCTTCTGAGCGATCTTCTTGAGAACCTGGCCCCCAGACAGGTCGCCCAGGTAGCGGGTGTAGGCATGGGCCACCAGCAGTTCGGGCTCAGCGCGCCCCACCTCCTGGAGCCGCTGAACATAGCGCTTGGTGGCCTGCGTGTAGGGGATGGTCTCCTGCCAGTGGGCCCCGTACCAGAAGGCCATGTCCTGCTCCAGGGCGGCCCGGCGGTGCAGCTCCTCTGGGAAGTAGAGGGGAGAGTAGACGGGGTTCTCCTTGTTGCGTTCGATCTCCTCCTCCAGGGCCACATAGATGTGGTACAAAGACGCCATCACCAGCTGAAACCAGAGCAAGCAGGTCATTATCAGAGCATCCAGCCCCTTCGCACTATCGCCTTCAGTGTCATCCTTGTCACCTCCCCAGGCTGGGCTCCCACCTCCTGCCAGCCCCTCCAACCCTCCCCCTGTGGCAACCAGAGAAATTGTCACAGGAGAAAATCTTCATTGTGCACTGTCTGAGCCTAAAAACCTTTTATCACACTGGAAAAAATACGAATCCTCACTTCATCCTTGGAAAAGTCTAACAAAGGAATGGCTATGCCCATTTTACAGAAAAGACACTAAGGCTCAGAGAGGGTATGAGACACAGAAGCCACAAAGCTAGTAAGAAACAGAAATGGAGCCACGCACAGGCATGGCTTTCTGGAGAAAGTAACCAAATTAAAGTGCTTACAGGAGATGCCAGGCACCTCTCTCTGGCTTGTGACCTCTGGGGATCCATCTGCAGAGCACAGTTCTCCCCAGAAGACCCCTCTGAACCCCATCACCTCTGAACGCTGGGCTGGGGGACAGCCCAGTGCCCCATAGCTCGGGTAACTCCCATTACACATTAATTTTCTAGTTTTGAGTTTGAAAGAGGACAAAGTTTAGATGTTCCAATTGAGGTTTTCAGGTGATTTGTGAGCATTTAATCATTTTTGGGAGCACGGTCTCTCACCAGGGCAGAAACCCAGGCAGCCTGGTACAGTGCAGCCTGGGTTTTCAACTGTGACCAACCTGGTCCTAACTACGCTCAGCCAGTCCTCAGCTGGGTCATGGTGGATAAAACCACTCACCCTCTCTAGGCAATCTGGGGCCTGAGTGACTCTGCACAAGGCAAGCCTTGGTTCCCTTCCTTGCAAAGAAGGGTAATCTGACCACAGAGTGCTGGGGCAGGTGTGCGGGTCAGGAGGATGACAGAGGGAAAGCACTAGATGCAACCAGGTAGTCAGCACTGAAGTTGGACCATGGTGATAAAACACACTACCTCCATCAGCACAATCTGAGCGCAGCAGTGGGTCCTCTCCTGGGTCTCTGTGCTGACTTTGAACTCAGGGGCCAAGAAGGAAGCTCCAAAGCATACAGTGGCTGGGTATGGGGTACTCCAGCGGCCACCTCCCCACTCCCACTGCCCCAATCCCATTACAGCAACTGTACATCAGCTTTTTCAGGGGGGTGGGGGGCAGAACGAAGGAGTAAGGGCTAAACTCACACCCACAGGACACAGCCCAGGGCTGTGAGCCCCTTAGAGCTGCATGTTAAATCGCCCTTCACTGAAGCACTTCTCCTGTTGGAAGTAGGAGGCGTCTCCCAATAGCCAAAGGCAGGGGGTCAGGAGTGGTGAGCTGCAGCTCCCCACCCCCACTGTTCAACCCAGACAAGCCTCTCCTCACGCCCAGCACCTGCCGGGTTCTTCTGTCACATGCTTTCCTTCTTCCTGCGTGAATTTCACAACTGTGCTGAGTAATAGCAAAAATTCATGCCTCAAATACAATGGGCACTTAAGGAAATCATGCTGGGTATTCCCCTTGGTCCAGTAGTTACGACTCTGCTTCCACTGCTGGGAGCATGGGTTCAATCCTTGGTTGGAAAACTAAGAGCCCACATGCTGTGCAGCGTGGTCCAAAAAAAAGAAAACCCTGCCGTTGAAAAGCCTTATTTCACAGTGAGGAAAAGTTACCCTGGGGCAGTTAGATGGTGCTGGTAGCCTTACTATTCGGGAATGGAAGTACTCCAGCTCGAACCCACACTCCCCTCTTAGCTTCAGAGGCAGGTAAGTCCTAGGTCAGAAGCATAAGCTCTGAACCAAGACCAGCCTTGGCTCAATTTTGGCCTCTCCCATTTGCTTACAGGCTGTGTGACCTTCTGTTAGCTACCTAACCTCTCTGAGCCTTCCCTTCCTCATCTTCCTTATCAAAGTTGAAGCACTGATTACAATTAGTTGAGTAAAATGCCAAGCATGCACTAGGTGGTCACTTAAGAGTACCACCGCCCCAGCCACTCCACAATACCACACTGCAGGCTGTGAATCTGCTGTGTGACCCCAGGTATGTGACCCCATTTCCACTCTCTGAGCTTCAATGTCATGACCTGTAAAATGATTCCCTTGAACATGCTCATCGGGTCCCTCAGCATCCCTAGGAGCCATACCCACTTATACCACTGCTTTGCACTTTGGGTGCACTCCCACCCAATGTACCCCTGCCAAGGCTGGTACCTCCAGTCCACATACCTTAAAACCTTCTCGGGTCACCTCACCCTTCTGAAAGTTCTTCATGAACTCGGCATTCTCCGCCTGGGTGTGCACCTCCTTCGTGGCCTCCTTCAGGGCCTCTGACAAATCCTGGGGCATGCTGCAGAGGAGAGGCACAGAGGTGAGCAAGGAGTGGAGGACAGGGCTCTGAGCACAGTCCCTTCCACCGCTGAGCTTCTGAGGGCTACCCCTGCCTGTTTGCAGGACTTAAAAAAGAGATTTCAACTTTTATCAGGCTTCTCTGCAGAAACCCATGTTCCCATCTAATACACAGCCACTTTCCCAACTACCTTTAAGATGCAGTCCCAGCCACACTTTTCAGTTATTAAAACACTGTGTAATATGGGTCCCCCAAACCAACAGGAAAGGTCTGGCCAATTATTCTCAATAGAGAAGAGAAGGGAGCAGCACCGGTGAGCAGGGTGAACACTCATTCACCTGCAATTGCTTCGACTGGCTTTTAGACCCAAGATTTAACTCATTAACTTTGTTGAGGTTTCAGATACAGATCTCATGATCCCTTGTTAATATTCTGCTCGCAGAAAAGTACTAAAAAGTAAAACTCAGGTTTACTCAAAGAAACAGTTCCTTTTGGGGAGTATTTCTGCCTTATGTCCGCATCCACCTCCAACAGGAGTGTCATTTGTCCTTTCTGGCTAGCACTCCTTCAGAAAATCACCCCCTGTTCTGTACATGCTGGTCAAATTCTTGGAAGATGGGAGGAGCCAGACTCAGAGGTGGACAAACCCAGGGCCAATTTCCAGCTAGTCAGGAGACCTTGGCTTGCTTGCTGTCCCTCTTCTACTATGCCACCCTCACACTGCAAGCGTGGGCTCAGTAGCCGAGGTGATGTGCTCCTTAATTCGGCAGCTAGCCAGAGGTGGATGCGGCCAAGAGGAGTCCCCAGTAAGAGAGCCAGGCTTTGTCACCCAGGCTCCAACAGTCGCGGGGATGCCGGATTAAGCAGACCGCTACCTCCAAGCACTCGCACGAGTTCAAAACCAAAACCAAAGTCGGTCCCACGACAACACTCCCATCGGGTCATCCACAGGGAGCCAGGCATGTCAATCACCTTTCATCTCTCCAACTGCCCCACCGGGCGGGATTGGCACCCAGCTCCTCCTAACACCAAAGCCCCAAGTGACCGCCCGCCTGTTCAGCGAGGGCGCTTCCTGCTTCCCGGCTCGGTCTCGAGAGCTCTGCGGGAGGAGGGAGCTGCCCTGCCCGGGAGAGGCCGGTCCCCTGACCCGCACTTGCCTGTCGGGCTGCGGGCGCTCCATCCTGCGGCTGCGTAGGTGTAGGGTCAGTGCTGGCTCCGAGAACTCTGGCTCCGAGAACTCTGGCTCCGACGGCTCAGAACTGGATCGAGGAGGCGGGAGAGCAACTGTGCCGAGTCCCAACTTCGCCGTCTATTTATCCCCGGGGCGAGTCACGTGGCCGCCGCCCGCCTGCCTTTCCTCACTTTCTGGCCCGACGTTGCAACACCCGCGGGGGCCGGCGCCCCACCCGCCCCTGGCCTGCGGGGGCGGAGGAGGAGCGGTCATATGACCCTTGGAAAACAATCTATTTAAAACAAGACGTAAAAAAAAAAAAAAAAAAAAACCCAACTTCTGGAAATCTGTGCAGCAGTGTGATTTTGCCCCTTTCAGAGCCTCCAGCCCAGGAATGGTACTTGAACACCCCAGGAATCTGAACGGTTCCGGGGAGCTGGGAGGCAGGGCTTCTCAGAGCCGGAGGCTTGGGGCAGTGTCAAGCACTCCGTCCCCAGACCCTGTCTACAGCCCCCCGCACCAGCCTGCTCCCTAATTGTCACCTCCTTCTGGGACCCTCAGCTGGCAGCCTGCTTCCTCATGTTTCCTTTGGCCTTTTTTTCTTTCTTGAGCACCTACTAAATGCTTAAGATGGTACTGTTTTCATGGTTCATCCCTACAGTTACCCCCTGAGGTAGATCTCACCATTTTACAGAGAAAATGAGGCTCGGTGGTGGGTGGGGGCAGGGATTAAGTGGCACGACCGAGGACACACATAAAGCAGGAAAACGGGACCCAAACTCCAGGTCTCTGCCTGTCTCCTTCAGGCCCTGTTAGCACTTGGTTCCCAGCTGGACAATGATGTTGGTCATCCAGACCACCTCCCTGCTCACCTGCACAGGGCGATCTTCAGGGCTCATTGAGTCTGAGTTATCTCATCCTCATGACTCAAATGATAAAGAATCCGCCTGCAATGTGGGAGACCTGGGTTCAGTCCCTGGGTTGGGAAGATCACCTGGAGGAAAATCGCCATGGGAACCCACTCTAGTATTCTTGTCTGGGGAATCCCCATGGACAGAGGAGCCTGGTGGCCTACAGTCCATGGGGTTGCAAAGAATCGGACACGACTGAGTGACTAAGCACACATGCAGTACCCACCCGGGCCTGGAACAGAGCTGGTCCTGTGATCAACTATTGAATTTATTCTGCATGAGACTGATCATTTAGGATGGGGAGAAGCAGGTCACTAGGCGAGCCCAGATGACAATGCAAATGACAATACCAAAGTCCCTTCCCAAAGTTACAATTCTGGATTCTAGATTAAACAAAACAAAGTTTAACTTTGACTCAGGACAAGGATGTTGTTTGGAAAAGAGGTAGCAAGTGTTCCACTTCTGAAGGAATGTGAGGACAAGCTTGAGGACGGCCAGCCCAGCCATCAAGCATGGGTTCTCGGATGGGGGGACTACAGCAGCTGAGGCGGTCTTTCCTGGGTAAGCAGAAGTCTCTGATGCTTGGAGACAGTCTGGAAGAACCAGGCAGGTAGTGTGTCAGTGTGTCCATCCGGTCCAGGCTCAGAGCTCTGGCCCATGATCCATCCTCTTCCAGGATCACTGACCTGAACTTCAGCCACCAAATCAATCTAGAGGCATGGGGGCGGCTCAGTCTTCTAGAGAGGGGGCCTATGCCAAAGAATCTAGCTCTTGGTATAAATTATATATCGCTCTTCTGCTTTGATGAACAATGATAACAATACTAATAGCCAATATTCATTGAGCCCTTCCTGTGTGCCAGATACTATACTAAACACATATATTAACAGATTAAATCCTCATAATAACTCATAATATCCTCATAGTCCTCATAATAACAAATCCTCATAACTCCATAAGGCTGTCACTGTTATTGTCCTCATCTTACAAATGAGGAAACTCTGGCAGAGAGGGAAAGATAAGGGTTTGAACCCAGGTAGTCTAGCACAAAGATTTCAAAAGTTCAAGGTAGGATGTCGTGTCTCAGAATCCAGTAGAACGTGAGACAAGTGAAAAAAAAAAAACAACCATGGTTTTTCCCCGCTAGAGCCCAGAAGTCACCTCCATGGTTTTCGTTGAAAGGCTCATTCTACAGAGGATGGCATTTACCGGTTCACAAGATTCACAGAGGTGAGAACTAGAACTGGAGCTGCTGGAAGATTTCAAAAAAGAGTTGCCAAGAACTTTCTAGAAAGAAGGATTATTAGAAACATGTATCTCCATTAGAATGTAAGCTCCAGTGCTCACTTCGGCAGCACATATACTAAAATTGGAACGAGAGAGAGAAGATTAGCATGGCCCCTAGGCAAGGATGACATGCAAATTCGTGAAGCATTCCATATGTTTAAGACAGGTGCAAACTCGCAAAAAAAAAAAGAATGTAACCTCCAGGAGGGCAGGGGTTTTGTTTTTTGAATCTCCAGAGCCTGGAACTGCGCCTGGTAAGTAGCAGACAATCAATACTGAATGAATGAATATAGGCCACAAGGTTTCTTTCTGGTAAATAAACATGATAATACAGCTAGGTTGCCAGAAAGCGTTGGAACCAAGCTACAAGTTTTGATCTTAGTCAAACTTTACTGATCACTTACTGTGTACTGAACCCTTATGTGCAAGACTGCATTTAATCCTGGCAAAAGCCCTTTCATTTTCATCTCTGTTTTGTCCACGTAAATACTAAGGTACAAAGAGGTTAAGTCGTTTTCCCAAGTCACACGGCTAGTGATAGCCAAGCCAGGATTCAAAGCACAGTGCTTGGAAGCCAGAATCCATACTTCTGAACCCCATATCACATGCCCTTTTATGGGAGGCCAGTTTGTCGTCCAAGAGTTTACAGGATAAGAGTGGGAAAGTCTGAATGCTTGCCATCAGCCTGTCCATTCAGAAAGCCCAGAAGGTAAAGCTCATGTGATCTGCCATTCTCATACTTAACATGGGGGAGCAGAGGATCCAAGAGCAAAGTGACTTCGCCAGGCTGTGCCCCCCTAGGACACAGAGCCTTCAGTGGCCCAGGGTTCCTGGTTCCGAGTCCAGGCTCGCTCCTCACTACAGCTTCTTCCCTGGGAACCCCTGACTTATCGAGAACAGACCCCCCCCACCAACACACACACACACACACACACACACACACACACACACACACACACAGACAACCCCAGGGCGGAGGGGGCTGGACTAGGGCTGATCTGGTATCTCCTCTGTCCCAGTGTTGAGCCTGTGGCCTTTCCCCATGCTGATTCAGCTTTCTGACTTCCTCCTCTGTGTTCTCAAACAACTGGAATGATTTAAATGATATTTCTCCTCCTGTGGTAGGCTAAATAATGCCCCCCACCATGTCTACATGCTAATTCCCAGAACATCTGAATATGTTACTTATTTTACATGGCAAAAAGGATTTTGCAGATGGGATTAAGTTAAGCATCTTGAAATGGGAAGATTATCCTAATATGATCAGAAAAGTCCTTATAAGAGGGAGGCTGGGAGGTTACAGATAAAGAAAGTGATCTGATGAGGGAAGCAGGACAGAGATATTGGAAGATGCTGTGCTGCTAACTTTGAAGATGGAGTTAGGGACCACGAGCCGAGGAAAGCTGGTACCCTCCAAAAGTTAGAAAAGTTGAGGAAGTAGATTCTGTCCTAGAACTCTAAAAGGGGTGCAACCCTGCCCACCCATTTCAGGACTTCTGACCTCAGGAACTCCAGAGAATAAATCTGTGTTGTTTCAAACCACTGTGTTTGTGATATTTGCCACGACAGCTTCGGGAAGCAGGATGGGGTGAACAGAGAGATCCTTCCTGCAATCTCCCTGCGTGATGCCTATTATCCCACCCTTAAAGTGTTGTTGTTGTTCTTTAGTCACTAAGCCATGTCCGACTCTTTGTGACCCCATGGACTGTAGCCCGCCAGGATCCTCTGCCCATGGGATTTCCCAGGCAAGAATACTGAAGTGGGTTGCCATTTCCTCATCTCGGGGATCTTCCCGACTCAGGGATTGAAGCTGCATCTCCTGCACTGCAAGCAGATTTTTTTTTTTTAACCACTGAGCCACTTGGGAGTTCCCTGCCCCCAAAATAAAGCTTTATTCCATCAGAGAACCCACCACCCTCTCTCTGGATTCCCTTGCAGAGTCAAACACTTGAGCAGCTGAAATGGGCCAGTTTTGTTATGTGTGGAGCTGCAGGTACAAAGCTGAAGAGGCTAGAACCCCACTTTGACAGAACATGGGTGTTCTGTGTCCTCATGAAGTCTGGGCCCAGGGAAATGATCCAGAAAGGGGGTACGGAGCACCAAAGACAAATGTAGGTGGAAATGGAAAAGAAACACTGGAGTTTGCTCTGAGCCAAGCCTTCTCCCAAGCAGGGTCCCATTCCATCCTCCCCATACCCAGGAAGTAAGCATTTATCTGTGGTGGGCAGAATCGTGGCCCCACAAAGATGTCCTTGTCTAATCCTTACAACCTGTGAATATGTTCTGTTATCATTAAACAGGGTCATTACCCTTTGCAGGAGGCCAGTTGTAAATGTCTAACCTGGAGCCTATCTCCTCCTCAATCACCCTTTGCACATGTAATTAAGGTCACAGATCTCAAAGTAGGGAAATCACCGCAGTCTCTGGAAGGGCCCAGTCTAGCCACATAAACCCTTGCAAGCACAGAACTTTCCCTGGCTGGGAGATGTCAGAGAGATGGGAAGTATGGGAAGCAATCAGTGATTGTGATGCCGTCAGTCAGGTCAAGGTGGGCTCCACAGGCTGGGAGATGTGGGGAGACCATTGTTTGGGGCCACAGGAAAAAGTCAAGAGTTGAGACCCCAGGTGGCCCAGACCTGGCAGGGACAGGCAGCAGCCTGGAGGTCAGTCTGGCTGCAGCAGAGAGCGGGAGGGGACAGGGTGGAAGATGGGAGCAGGAGAGAGGTAGCCTGTGAGGCCTGCAGGCCATTGCTAGGACCTTTGTAAGTAGGGGAGACCCAAGGGCTGGGAGGGGAGGAGTGCTGGGGTCTCACTGGGTTTTCCTGGGATCAACAGTCACTGGCTGCTCTGGGTGACACAGGACATTGGCAGAAGGCAACCGACCACACAAATCCAAGGAGAGATGATGCTGGTTTTCAAAGAACAGAGAAGTAAGTGGCCTAGGACATGCATTTGTAAAGGCAGAGCTTTACGTGTTAGAAGGATAGCAAATGAGATGTGAGAGGAGCTGTCAAGGATAGCTCCAAAGTTAGGGTTCAACCAGCTGGGAAGGCGGAATATCAGTTGGCTGTGATGGGAGACCTTCAGCAGTTCAACACTGGGCACATCCCTTTCGAGACGTATGGGACAGGGCTTTGCAAACGCCAAGCAAAAGCTGGAGTGAAATGGGAAGGTTCTACCCTTTCTAGAAGTTTCACTTCCTCCTGCCAGCAGGGAAGACTGCCCTTAGCCAAGCACCCAGCCGGAGGCTGAGGAAGCAGCTGGGGTGACTCAGCAAAATCTGCCTTTCCCGTCTCCGCCCGCCCCCCTCCCAACCATGACACAGCAGAAACGGCACGAGGGGAACGTGGAAACCGAGACTCAGCATTCCGAAGGCGCCGCCCCTCCGCCCGCCTGGAAAACGGAAGCGGTCTGGGCTGCAGGGAGGGGCCAGGGCTGCGGCTCCTCAGGCCCGAAAGTGAAAATCCAAGGCGAGGCCTCCGCGGAGAACACAGGGGTGGGTGGCCGTGAGAAGGCTTTAGCTTCAGCTGGACCGGTTTTCCAAGCGAATCAGTGGACCCCCGCCTGGGTGTCCTCAAGCAGGGGTAGCCAGTCCGCATCCTCGCCCCGCACGGATCCAAGAGAACAAGCAGGTCTTTAACCCAGGGACGGCAGGGGGATGGGGTGGAACGGGGAACACCGTGGTGGTGTGCAGGCTACATGGAGCCCAGCCTTGGTCTCCGCAAGGTTGACGAGCCCCAAATCATGAAAACCATCCTCAGTCTGGACTGCAAAACACTGAATCTTTCTAGGTTGCAAGAGGCCTTAGATAAACAAGATTGACACCCCAGCGACAGAATGGGAGAAAAACGTTTGGACCTCTTGTAACAGACAAAAGATGAACATGGCTAATAAAAGAGCTCCTGATAGAGATGTATAACTGAATCACTTTGCTGTCCACTTGAAACTAACACAACATTGTAAGTTAACTGTACCTTAATACAAATAAAAACAAAGCGGAAAAGGAGTGGGGAGGGAGAGCTCCCGGAAGCAGTAAGACAGTCACCAGGAAATGTTAGCATTTAATAGGAGTTGATTATCATTTCCCTTCTGGGAGAACTGGGTACCCCAATGAAAGAGCAGGAGAAGAGGGCCTGCCCGGGCCCGAGATGAAACACTTGTTCATTCCTTATCTCCCCTTCTCCTCCTGCTCCTGATTTGGCTGATAAGGCAACTGAGGTGCCGGCAGCACTTCTCTGGTTAACACTCTTGGTTAGCTCCACGTCACCCTTGGGATAAAGTGCAAGATTTTCAGTCTGGCCCTCTGCCCTCAGCCCAGGCCACGTCTCCAGTAGGAGGGATCTCACCTCTCTCGTTCCCTTACACCCTGTGTGCTAGTTTCAGGAATACCTGGCTACTCCTGAACTACAGAAGCTCCCTTCCCTCTGGGCCTTTGTTCAAGTGGTCCCTCTTGCCTAGAATGTTCTCTCCTGTTCTTTGGCTGGGCTACTCACCTTTCAAGACTCAGCCCAGAAATAGACCTCCATGAAAGAGGTAAACCTATAAAGCATATAGAATAAAGCATAAAGGAAAAACTTACTGACCTTAGATTTGGCAAAGATTTCTCAAATACAACCAAAAGAAAAAAGCAGGAAATATTAAGAAAAAAAAAACAATAGGACTTCATTAAAATTTAAAACTTTTGGTTTTTAAAAGACACTGTGACCGGGACTTGCCTGTGTTTGAGTGGCTAAGACTCTGTGTTCACACCCAGTGTAGGGGGCTGGGGTTCCATCCCTGGTGAGGAACTAGACCCTGCATGCCACAACTAAGACCCAGCGCAGCCAAATAAATAAATACTAAAAAAAAAAAAGATACCGTGATGCAAAAAAAGAGGCATCTTTTAATAGACGCCTATTCTATTTAATAAAATAACATATTTGCAAAAATACATCCAACAAAGGACTTGTCTATAGAATATGTAAAGAATCAATATGATTCAATAATAAGGCAAATAAGTGTTTGATCACCTTGCAGTCCTAGGGAGTCTCAGGAGTCTTCTCCAGCATCTCAGGTCATTAGGGAAACGCAAGTTAAAATCGGTATGACATACCACTATATACCTATTCGAATGGCTAAAATTAAGGGCTGATTCTTCCTGCTATTGAAAATGCAGAGAAAGGAGAATGTTTACGGCTGGTGGGAACATGAAACGGTACTTGCCAGAGGCCAGAGTGTGCCCCACCACACTCTGGTATAAGGGTTATGCTACCTTGGTCTAAGGGTTATTTTGAGCTGAAGACAACTGAGAAACAACAAATGTCAGAAAACCACTTCTCTGCTTTCCCCCTGATTTGTCTGAAAGCAGGCTTAGACAACTCTAGCCTCTTAGCCTAGGGATGGCACCTAAAAGAATTGGCATAAGAAACCTTTCCAAATTAACCCTTATCTCCCACGAGTTTCCCCCATATGCTTACCCTCCCTCTGCTTGCTGATCCCAAAGGCCTAAACTCTTTTTTCTTTATCTTGTCACCTCTCTACACCCTTATTCTGTTAAGATGCTACATAAGCCTCAGTTCTAAGGATCTTTTGACTAACTCAGCACAGTGTTCCTCCCACATGAATGAACCCTCTGCATGTTAACACACTCTGCTTCTCTGTCAGTTTATCTTCCCTCAATTTAATTTCCAGGGCCCCAGCTGGAGCACCTAGGAGGGCTGAGGGAAAGGTTTTCTCCCTCCTTCACAACCACTTGGAAAAACAGTCTGGCAATTTCTTAAGAGCCTGAACATACACCTACTGTTCAACCCATCCATTCAACTCCTAGGTCTTTATTTGCAAGAAATGAATGCATATGTCCACACCTGTACATGAATAATCACAGTAGCTTTATCTGCAAAATTCCAAACTGAAAACAACCCATCTGCAGGTAAATGGGTAAACAAACTGTGGTACAAACATACACTGGATAATCAGCAATGAAACCGAATGAACCACAGATCCATACAACATGAATAAATCTCAAAAGGATTCTGCTGAGGAAAAGAAGCCAGACCTGCCCCCAAAAGAGTACTTACTGTATAATTTCATTTATATAGAATTATATATAAATAGGGCATTCCTGGTGGCTCAGATGGCAAAGAATCCGCCTGCAGTGCAGGAGACCTGGGTTCAACCCCTGGGTCGGGAAGATCCCCTGGAGAAGAAAAATGGCAACCCACTCCAGTATTCTTGCTTGGAGAATCCCATGGACAGAGGAACCTGGCAGGCTACAGTCTATAGCGTTGCAAAGTCAACACGAATGAGTGACTAACACATATATAAATTATATATGAAGTGTATATAGAAATACATAAAATTCTTGGAAGTGTAAACTAATATAACCAGCAGTTCTCTTGTTGGAGGGGAGGATTACAAAGAACCGTGAGGAAACTTTTGGGAGTGATGAATAAGTTCATTACATTGATTGTGGAGATAGCTTCCCAGTATACGCATGTCAAAATTCATCAGTTTGCATCCTTTAAACATGTAGAGTTTATTGAATGTCAGTTACATCTCAATAAAGCTGTAAAACAAAGCAACTGGGCTCAGACTTTTCCTGAAGTTCTTCCGCTTGCCTTAGGGGTCCCTGGCTGAGGTCCCTATCCCCCAGTAGCCCCCATCCTGACCGTAAGATCCTTGAAGATAGCAAGGACTCCCTATATCCAGTCCCTTCATATTAAATGATCCCTTCATATTAAATGAAGGAGGCTTAGCAGGGTTAAAGTTCCTGCCAATGGTCACATAGCTCACCCGGGACATGAGGGAGGCCAGGTGTGTCTGGCTGTAAAGCATACTGAAGTTCTACAATGAACTGTCTAGAAATCCTGGGCCTGAGGTGGTGAGGAATGAAGAAAGACTACTATCTTTTTCTAACATTGCCCAGTCTTCATTAACAGGTCCTGGGACTGAAGACCACAGCCAGACCAGGCAGCAGTCCAGTGTTAGGGAGCTCAGACTGCTAAAAAGCTTGGCCAATAGGGAGCCTGACTATGGCTCTAAGACCTGGTTGGACCTAGTTCAATCTGATCACAGCACTTCCACAAAAGACTGCAGTCACATCTGGGATTCATGACTTACCATGTATATATATATTTCAACACTAAGCTTTTATTTCCTTGTCCGGCAAAACAAGGAGTCATAACAGCATCAGCTCAAGGGGATGTGGTGAGAATTAAATCAGCTCAAGATCTGTTAGAAGCTCAAAGCTGGGCCTGGTACAGGAAGCCTGCAGTGAGTGTTAGCTGTTGTTTGGTCTGAGAGTGGCATCTAGTTCCCCTTTCAGGGCCCCCAAGAGCCTTTTTCCTATCTAGAAGTTTCTGGATGGCTCTGAATAGGGTCAGGCTCACTAACATCTGACAAACTTTGCTCTCAGTGGGGAGTTTTGAACATCAGATTTCTCATCTTTACTTTTTTCTCAAAAAATTATCTTTGAAGTAATTCCAAATACACAGAAGTTGCAGAAATACTACAGAGAATTCCTGTATGTTTTCACCTAGACTCACTAGTTGTTAGATTAGAATTTGGTCCCTTTTGTTTTACCATTCATTCTCCCTCTCTTTTGATTGTATATATGCTCTTTTTGACATACATCTATGATTTTCTTTTTTCCTGGCTCATGTAGTATGTAGTATATCCAGAAGACTGTCTCTCCTAAGCTGCGATCCAATTATAAACATCAGGAAATTTGACTTTCACACATATTCATTATATTAAAGCTTATGTTCAAATTTCAACAATTGTCCTCATTTAACTGCTCTTTCCGTCAGTCCAGGTTCTAACCCAGCAGCCCCTTGCATTTAAGTCATCCTGTTCCTTTGCCCTCTGCCTTCCTGTCTTCTATAACCTTGTCTGGCCATGATCCGGACCAGCAGTTTCGCAGACGACCCTGCTTTTGACTAGATCCCCACCTCTTAAAGAGGATCATCCCGCCCACCCCACTGGGCTCTGCAATCTAAGGTGTGAATCCCCCAGGCTGCTCCTGGCCGCAGGGAAGTGTTAAGTTTCCTAAAACAGGGATGGAAGGGAGGCGGGCTGGGGAGGCGCGGGAGGGGGAAGGGGAAGAGGGCTTGCCGGGGGCGACTCAGCCGTCAGCGAGGACGGGCGGGATCCAGGGAGTCGCCGCCGCCGCGGACCGCCTGGAAACTGGGACTTTGCCCGCAGGGATTAAGGCGGGAGCAGTTGGAAACCGTGACTCGGCGAAAACAGATCTCGGGACCGTGACTCAGCGAAAAGCTGCTGGGGACCGTGACTCAGCAAGACGTGCTGGGAAAGGATTGCTCAGCAGGGCTGGCGGAGCCCGGTTACGTGTGCTGGCGCCCAGGCCGCCCGCAGGGTGGGGACAGCTTTCTGGCCTTGACCCCCTGACCCCTCCTTACCGCCTCACCTTCCTGAGCTCAGCTAACTACAGCGCCAACCGTGCAGGGCTGGCTACTGGGAGGCTTAACTGAGCTCAGAATGGCAGACGTCACAGGGTACCTTAACAAATGACCTGGAGCCAGTCACTTGGCCATTCACTGCCTCCAGCGGCGTGGGAACTGCTGGAGCCCTGGGAAGGTGGGGTTGGCACAGATGAGTGATCAGCGATTTCCTTCTGCCCAGTTCAGTAAACACTTGGTTGTT